CCAAAAGCATATTGTATGATTCCATTTAGACAAAAAGTTCAAAAGAAAAGAAAATGAGATCAGCGCTTACTAACAATCAAGAAATGTCAGCTGTTATACAGAAGAACATATACAAAGGCAGTTTTGGATGACAGAAAAGGCTCTTATGTACCTATAATCTTAATAAAAATGTTTAAATATTATTCTGAAAGACACCTATCCTCTAGTTTCCCAAATGATATGAGGAAAAATGACACCAACAATGTTTTCACTTACAGTTTCGTATGTAACAGCTGGTAACTGATGACTTTGCCAGGAGTTCCATTCCCAAGTCCTGTAATCGGCCAGAGTTTTCAGTTCCACATGCAGCCAGTGCTTACAAAAGTGTGGGACAAATGGGAAAATAAAAGCTGACATACACAAATATCTCACAAGGTCACCCATTACTATTATCCTAACCATAGTGAAATGACCTCTACCCTATTTAAACAGCTTCAGATACTATGTCATTCTGTTGATAAAAGAGTAAGGTCTCTGTTACTTTACAAGGTACATTTGAATACAAGTAAACTTGCTGTGAAAAAATTAACAAAGCGGAATTTTGTTCATTTTGATAGAGACAGTGTCAAACAAAGCCAATGGCTATTACTCCTTTATATATCAAAGAGAGAATTTACCCCAAAGTGATCATTTTCCTCCTTTTCTCAACAGTAGGTAAGCCATTAAAAACTGCAACCACAACAGCATCTGAGTCCAAAGCTTGGCACTGATGGTCTTCAGATTTTGGCAGAATATCACTGATACTGCCATGTGTCAAGGCTCGGGGAGTATTATGCCTGCTCCCAGACTGAGAGCTTCCTGGGGAGCCTGGAGAAAAGGGAATATTCAGAAAGAAGGCAAACAAAAGTCCTAAAATTTCACCACATATAAGTTTTTTAAATAAATCTAACATAATTAAAGAAGATATCACAGCCTTTTTCATGCCAGCTATTTTTTAAATTAGGAAGCCCAGAATATGCAACATAATGGCTACATTTTCTTACTAACATGTTTGTTGTACTATGAGATCAAGGAACTTTTTTTTAACCAACTTTCAGCACGCTTGATGGCTTTGAAAGTCTAAGGCTACTTCCTAAGATCAGTTTTGAATTAAAGGCATCGACCCACCAAAGTTATATTCTGATCACTCCAAATTTACCTTCAGACAGAGTCTGACAGTCTCCCTTTGAACGGCTATTTTCCCCAGAATCTACTGCTCTTCGAAGTGACAGACTTCCAGCTATACTGGACCGAGCTGGCTTCGGTGAATTACTCTTCTTATTTGTGGCTGCAAAGATATTAAAAAAAATTTCTTAATACAAATACAAATACATTAGAAAAAGGTTTAATCTATCCATGAAAGGTGTTTTATCAGCTATGCAAAAAAAAGAGGTAACTCTGGTTCCAATTGCCTTTTTTGGGGGTTTGTGCCAACATTATTCCTATTTTTCTGCTCTCAGAACAGTCTTAACCTACAGAACCAGGAGAATATCTTCTAAGAATGTATCTTCAGATTTCAATCTCAACATAAGTATTAAGAACAAAAACAAAACCTTCAAAACTTAGAAATTATAAAATATTGTTGGACTGAAAACAAATCAATGGTGAATTATAAATGAATTATAATTACTTCAAATCAAAACATCTTGGTTAAAACAGTAATTAGAAGAAAACATGTCTCTTTAAATAAAGTAGGAAACGCTAAAATTAAATAGCCCAACATGCATACACGCAAAAAGCTAAAAAATTAATTGAAAAAAGAGCAGAAGAGATGCAGTGCTTATTAATAAAACGTTCAGAAAGGTATCAGGATACAAGACCAGTAATTAATTGTCTTTGTACAAAAGCAAAGAACAATCTGGGAATAGCATTCACAACAAGATGAGGTTTAGTAAAATATTTAGGAAATATTAGAGAATAAACAAGATTTGTACACTGAAGACTACCATACATTATTGAAAGAAAATTAAGACGAATAATAATCTTGTTTTCACTAGTTGGAAGACTTAATGTAGTTAACATGGCACTACTCCAAACTTGACCACAGATTCAACATAAATAATCCCTGTAACATTTTTAGCTCTCTTTTTTTTTAAATGCAGAAATTAACAAGTCAATCCTAAAATTCATGTGAAAAAACAAAAATCCAGACTACCCAAACAACTGAATGGAGGAATCACACTTCTGATTTTAAAGGTTGTTATAAAACCATAATAGAGTAGTCAAGGTCACATGGTTTCAGCACAAAAATAGAAATCTCTATCAATGGAACAGAAATGAGAATCTAGAAATAAGCCCTCACGATTTGTGGCAAATTAATTTCTGACAAGGATATGAAGACAATTCAGTGGTGGGAAAAATGGACATTAACAAGTGGTGACAAAGATATAGAGAAATTAATTACTTCATGTGTTGCTAATATGAATGTAAAATGGTTGGTTGGTTGGTGCAGCTGCTTTGAACAGTATGGTAGTGCTTCAAAAGTTAAACATAGTTTCCATCAAGTCAGTGATTCTACTCCTAAGCCTATACTAGGAGAACCACTTGTAATATAGTAGGCTAATATAAGCAGAATCACTACTAATATAGGTTTAGGTTTAGGAGTAGAATCATGTATCATATTCAAAATAACTAAAAACATCTGCCACACAAAAAATGTAACAGTCAAAAAGTACAATTCAAATGCCTATCAACTGATAATAAGATAATCAAACATGGTACAAACAATTAAGTATCAGTTATAAAGAGGAATGAAATACATCTTATTTTACAAAATAGACACTGAAAGGAATATGCTAAGTGGAAGAAGCCAGAACCAAAAGCATATTGTATGATTCCATTTAGACAAAAAGTTCAAAAGAAAAGAAAATGAGATCAGCGCTTACTAACAATCAAGAAATGTCAGCTGTTATACAGAAGAACATATACAAAGGCAGTTTTGGATGACAGAAAAGGCTCTTATGTACCTATAATCTTAATAAAAATGTTTAAATATTATTCTGAAAGACACCTATCCTCTAGTTTCCCAAATGATATGAGGAAAAATGACACCAACAATGTTTTCACTTACAGTTTCGTATGTAACAGCTGGTAACTGATGACTTTGCCAGGAGTTCCATTCCCAAGTCCTGTAATCGGCCAGAGTTTTCAGTTCCACATGCAGCCAGAGCTGCCTGGTCAGCAGAAAAAAGGTTAGCCTGCATGTCACCAGAAGCAGCATTGCTGCTCTTTATTTCTGAAAGAGTATTCTTTATATCAGTTTTCATACATCGAACTTCAGCCATTTGAGTTTTGAGTCTTTTCAGCATCTTTAAATCAGAGGGAACTCGCCACATTGCCTGCTGCTTTCTTTGGTCTTTATCCTTTCGAGAATATGATGCTTCAAAGAGAAAGTGACAAGTTATGTTAATAAAGACTTGAACATTCATGAAATCACTCTGTACAATGACTATATGAAAAATTGGTATGTAAATAAACTAAGGTGGTATACAGGGTATCAGTAATAAAAGCATGCATGAAATTCCATCAGTGAAAATAAACACTCATAACTGTATTCATATTTTTAAAGTTAGAATCTGTCACATTGCAATCATTAAAATATAAATTTCATATTTAATTTTAAAAGATTTTTAAAGGGGCATTACCTCTGGTACTTTCTTCTTTATACTTTTCTGTTTTTCTCAAATAGTCTACACTGAGTTTTCATTATGATCATAATTGAAAAAAAATTTTAAAAACTACTATACATGATATATTAAAACACATGTTCTAACTAAGTTTAAAAACTTGATTTAATGAATTATTACACAATGTAGATGCAAATATTATTATAGAGGGACCCTCCCTGGTGGTGCAACAGGTTAAAGCATATTAAGATGAAGCAATCCATAGCCACTGCAGCACGAATTCGATCCCCGAACAGGGAGGTGATCCACATGGTGCAGTAGACCTCTCTGGTCTTGTTCACTGCTCCCCACCAGCAATGTATTTCAGTAGCTCCGCCTGTTCTTCTCCCCGCTCTGTCTCTGATGAATCTTCACCCCCCCACCACATCTCTTGCTTGTACCCCAGTTCTTGTGTGCATAATGACAAAAACAAGGATGTGAGGTTCTTCCTTAGGTCCCAGGGGAATATGGTCCAAACCTGCCTCAGTTCATTCCACTCAAGACAATGTTTAAGGTGGGTACAGGACTCAGGTGCTAGACAAAAGTTTTCCTAGGGGGTCCTTTGTAAATGATTTTCTATCCTGATAGGGAGACATGTTATTTAACAAATATCTTTAAAGAGTTTACCAACTGTCAGATATTTTAAACTTATTAATTTAGCAATCCTCTCAGTTAATTATTATTATCATCACTGACAATTTATAGATAAGAAACGTAAAACACAGAAAGGTCACATAACATACTTAAGGTAAGGCAGTTAACAAAAATAAAAGCCTGCCTCCAAGGTTAGTAATCTTAATAACTTCTCTCCAGGGTGTCTTCTACCCAGTCTTTTACTTCCTGCTAAGGACAAATTCCTATGAATACAAGATACTGAGAGCTATAGCATCTACATCGTATTATCATGAGAAAAAGAGGCAAAAGAATCACAGAATGACAATCTTAGTGCCCTACTTTAAATACCACATCAACATGGTATCACCTCCAGATTTCTTTAAGCATAATAATTACCTTTAATAATTAAACCATTGTTAGCTTTTTTTTTTTTTAAAAGATTTATTTATTCATGCATACAGAACTGGGGTACAGGCCAGAGGTATAGGGGCAGTGAGAGGATTCACCAGAGACAGAGTGGGGAGCAGAACAGGCAGATCTATGAAGCCCACTGCTGAGGGAGCAGCAGCTGGGTCAGGAGAGGTCTGCCCTGGTGCCATGTGGTCACCTCAGGGGTGGGCGGGAATTGAACTCATGCTAAAGTGCTTTAGCTTCTTAGTGCTGTGCTTTCACTGGCTACGCCACCAGGGAGGGCCCCACTGTTAGCATTTTTTTACTTACAGGTGAAAGCATTCACAACAGCTATGACCATCAGCTTTCTAAAATGCAGTTTGAATAAAACCTTACCGGCTCCCCCCACTGTTACCTATGATTAATTCCTCAGACTAGTGTTCTCCCTGGTGGTGCAAGGAGTTGGTTAAGTTTCAGCACTTTCAAGCTATCACTAACTCAAAGCAGTTTAATCCCAGCCAGAGAACTAACCCACACAGCGGCGCAGCTTACCTACTGCATGCTCCCCTCAGTAGTGTATTTCAGTCAATCTGCATATACTGATTGCTCCCCACTGTGGTGAATGTTCTGGTTTACCACACCTCTGGCCTACACCCCAGCTCTTGTATGCATAAATAAAAATTTTAAATTACTTACTTAATTAAATCTTAAAAAAATATTCTTAGGCTAGAATGTAAGGCATTATACATAACAGACTTGACTTTACTTTCCTATTCTAATTGACCACTACCTGAAAATGTGATTCAATTACATTACCTGTCATTCATACTCTGATGCTTTTGCAGCAAAGGTTTTAAGAGTATGAACTTGAAGTAAGTCTGACATATAAGCGTTGACTGTTCTCTACTGAAAGGATAATATAGGAATATTATAAACAATTCTATACCTATATATTTGATGACCTAGAGGTAATGAACCAATTCTATAAAAAACCACCTGTCAGAACTTATACATGAAGAGACGTTCTGAATAGGATTCAAAGAAAGTGAATTAATAATTAATTAATATTACAAAACAGAAAGCACAAGGTCCACAAGGGCTCACTGATGAATTCTACCAAATATTTAATGTAGAAACTATGACATTTCATTCTCTTTCAGAGGATAAAAACAGAGGGAATACTTCCTAACTCATCTTATGAGACCAACTAAAAGGATTACAAGAAAATCACAGGTCACTATCTCTTATGAAATTAGAAACAAAAAAATTAACAACAGATCAAATTTTACAGTATATAAAATGATTATACAAAACAATCAAATGGGGTTTATCCTAGGTATGTAAGAGATGTTTGCTATTTAAAATCTAACAACCATTTATGATAAAACAACCTTAGTAAAGTAATAAATGGGAACTTCTTCAACTTGAAAAGAACATCTAGAGAAAACCTAAAGTTAACATACTTAATGGTGAGAAAGTTGAAGATTTTCCACTAACATCAGTTGTAATGGAATGTCCCCTTTCACTAGTCCTTTTCAATGTCACCTGGAATATGATAGCTAATGTAACAAGACATGAAAAGAAAAAGAAGACATGGGAAGGGAAAAAATACATGAAGAACCGAAATAAACATCCAAACCCAAACCAGTATTTTAATAAAAAGAAGGGCGGAATTTTCTGTAACATTAGCTTAACATTCTCTCAGAGAGGTTATTTTCACTTGGCTTCCATGACTGTTTTCTTCTTTCTCTTCACCTGGCTCATTTTCCACATACTTGGTAAGAGCAGATGTTTACCACAATTTGAAGTATAGCCTGACACAAAGCTAAGCGACGGCTATCGTCTGACAGATTCCGGGTAGCTCGGGAAAATCTCTGAAGATCAGACTTTCCATGCTAACTTATGTTATGACCTCCCTTTTTTGTATAATCGTAATATCAAAATATTCTGAGCAACTTTCAGTCTACAATTGGATTGCCTCAGCTGCATAAGGCCTGCCTGCCCTGACAAGCAAGCACTGCACCAGGGTGAGAAATTCCTCTGAAGTCAAAAGTGACTTAACAACTGGCTGATCAATAAAAACAAAAGGGCTGTTTCTGCAAAGTCTCTCACTGCCCGACTGAGGAAAACCCAAATCTTATTCTACTATCTCACCTAGCCTCCTATTCAGCTTCTACAGAATTACTCAAACTTCCTACTGTCTGGCTTTAGATATGGAAATTCATCCAGGTTGCCTGTTTTAGAGCTAGTCAAGTTTTTTACCTGCTACACTTCAAAGCAATCCACAAAAGTCTTTCTGGCTAGTCTTTCAGGATTCTACTATCTAGTCTTTAGATAAGGAAATCTACCCATGTCTCCTATTTAGAGCAAATTACACTTTCTACTGTCTGGACCTCAAGGAAACTCACTTAAAACCTTTTAGCAAGTTTCTTCAAAGAACTTTTCCGAAACTTGATTAGCGAGAAATTTCCTCTTCCTGCCTCCCAAGATGTCTCAGGTAGAAAAAACCATCAAATAATAGATAAGGTTTAAAGGACTTTATTCTTATATATCTTCACTATAGTAATATTAGTCTTAAACTTTGAGCACCTATGTATCTGTTCTTTAACCTTGATTTTAGAATGTTATAATCTCAAGTAAAGGTCAAACGACCCCAGACCATTCTTAGAAAAAAGGTGATTGTGATCTCAATCCCTTTCGTATGCTAATGCCATCCCCCTGCCTACTTGAAATGTATAAAATAAACCTCTGCTGATGGCAGAGCAGGAAGATTTGCACCCAACTCCGACTCCTGCGTCTTCCTCGCACCCACTCCTCTCCCCCTCTTGGAATCTCTGCACGCCAATGCCTTCCCATCTTAGGGTCCTGCCTGTGTTGCCTCCAGACACCTCAAAAGTTGGAGCTGGTCTCCGACACTGGCCCTTTGAAATTTTCTTTATATACTCTCTTTTGCAATCTTCCTTGGTTTTAACTACCCAGTATCACCTCTAGGCAAATAACTATATTCCAATTCTTAATTTTTATTTGTCTTCTGAGAACCACTACACGTTGCTTAACCTACCAGTATGTCAAAGAGTCTTAAATCCAAGGCTTGTTTTTCCCTCTCTGCTCTTTCCCCATCCTTCTTGCAGCAGCATTTTTAGTTGTCTGAATTTGAAACTCAGACCATCTCCCTAGTATTAACTTTACATGGGAAACTAAGTTTTTGGACAACAGAGATCTTACTGGTTACACAGTTTGCATTCTTTTTTTCTGAAAATATACATATTTTTAGAAACATGATTTTACTTGCTTATAAAATATGCTACTACAAGGTTAAAATGTTAAGTTTTTCAGTCATAATTGCAGTGCTAGGTATTTTCAAACAACTCTGTTCTCTCTTTGGGGTATATTCCTAAGTCTGTTAAAGGATTAAGGATAGGGATATTTTTTTTTTTTTTAAAGATTTATTTATTTGTGCATACAGAACTGGGGTACAGGTCAGAGGCTCAGGGGC